AGTGACCTTGACCTTTTGATCTTGTGAGGGCCCCAAAATCAATAGGGATCTTCTACCCCAATATGGATATCATCCTATGAAATTTGAACACTGTAGGCCAAATGGGAACTTAAGTTCATGCTCCGGAAAAACTGTATTCAGTTTTTAAGGTCATAGGTGACCTTGACCTTTAAACCTTCATGACCCCAAAAAAAATAGGGGGGTCCTTCTACCCAATATGGGACATGCATCCTAATGAAGCTTTGAAATTCGTGGGCCAAAGGAAAATTAAGTTATGCTCCGGAAAAAAAAATTGCTAACGGACGGACGGGACGCGGAAGGACAGACGGACGGGACGCCAGGGGGTATAAACATAATATGTCCGAAATTCTTTCGGGCATATAAAAAGAAGAAAAACAACATTTGCCGTACAATAGGTGTGGTTTTATACATACCGTATAAATAAGGTAATCTGCAAGCTGAAATAGTTATGTTAACTCCATTTTAATAATAAAACCAATTAGTTTTGATACATACAATGTACTCATGCATATCTTACAAACTATCTGAGAGTAGTACATTGTAATTATAGCCTCTACCACTTCATAATTAGACACCGTAAGCATATACAGTTCAAAGCACGTCGTCACTTCTTTTGTATTGTATCTGATGATTAAGTATCAATTCTGCCATAATAGAAATAATGCCTCAAAGATATTTGCGCTACCGAAACTGACTTCGAGGTATATTGTAATTAGAAATATGATATGAAATAAATTTGAAATTAATTATGCCCCTCGTGAAAATATGGGTGGTTGATATCAATAAGAAAGAGTGTTGTGAATAATTCATCAAATATTGTTGCACATGTATGATTTTGTGCGTGACATTGGAGTTCTACATGCAACAGTTGCTTGGTATCATAGTTTTCATTGCAAACGAAGATGAAAGTATAGAAAAGTAGAAATAATTACAATAATACCTTTTTTAATATATGCACATATCACCATTACCCTTATTTCCGAAACATGTCAATTCTTTAGACACAATTTACAATAACATTACTAAACTGAAGTACGATTCCTCATTTTTAGTTCTTATACGAACCTAAAATGTTTTCATTTGATTTATTGAATACTCATCTAAAGGTCTGAAGATTTCATACATACACTGTATGTTATTTTTGATATGTCGCTCATTACATCGTATCGCACCAATGACATGAAGAACAATAAAAAAAGCAAAATTAAAAGGTTTCAAACTCCTGTGTAAATAATATGGACGGTATTTGTAAGTTCAAGCTACCGTTTACATCCCTCAGCACCGACTTGAGCAGCATTAAAATGAATGATAATGTCTGACAGTAACATTCTCAGATGTATATGTTCAGTTATGTAAATTTCTTAAATACTGAATTTACTCCGTCGGTTATCTTTTAAAAGTGTTTCTTGTTTATAAAATCACACTTTTTCAACAGACCTTTAAATAAATAAATAACAAATAAATAGATAGATAAATAAATAAATGAGAATAAATAAATAAATTATAAGTGAATGAATAGATAGATAGATAGATAAATAAATAACTAAATAAATAAAAAAATAAAGAAATCAACAACAATCAGCAGCAACGACATCAACTCTTTTATCTCGGTAGTAGAAGCTCCATTAAGTGTGCTTTGACACTAAACGTTAGTCCTGTAACTACTGCGTTTGGTCATTACATTCATTTGTCATAAATATGTATAATTCTATTTACATAATATAAAACGCCACATTTTTCAGTACAGTCCAAATGTACTCGTATATTTTTTAGTCGATTTCCTGCATGTTTGTAAACACAATAATTCTTCAGAAACGAATACATGCATATTTTTTACTTCTTTAAAGAAGGCAGCAAACATAAATTCCATAACGCAAATGTGATGGTTATGATCGGAACCTTAGTTTGAGAACCTTTCTGTTGAAAATGTGTCAGAGTTCAACCGTATACATTATACATGCACATTTGGTTAACTGGAGTGCAGGTATCAGTTACCCACACTCAAAAGCATGTCCATTGATTGGTTCAATTTCTCTGGGGATTACATATTGTGACGACAGAGAAAGGAATAGCCATAGAAATATCATATTCAGATGCTCGTTCATTGGCTACTTTTTATGGGGTTTCATATTGTGACAACAGGGAACGTGTTTTCATGTTTGACTATGATACCACGGAAAAAGAACACCAACACACTCGGCAAGTACCCTCGTTCAAATCAGATAGCCTCGTGTTTCGATGCTCTTTCTATTACTTAGATGCTTGTTACATGACGAAACTAGCGCTTAATGTGTAATAATTTGTTATTAAAGGTTGCAGAATGTAAAAAAATGATGTAATAGTTTTGATTCTATACAGAATACTTAATCACAAATAGAATTAGAAAAAAAGCAGAATCCCTAAAGAAAGCCCAACAAGGCAAAGTTAAAGAATGTTGCAGGCTCGGTTTAATTGAGCCTGTTAATGGACAGCACTGGAAAGTACAAGTTACCGTCGAAAAGTTAAATGAATAAAAAAGATGGTTAAAGTAATTGGCCAATGTGTAACCTTTGGAAATTGTTAAAGTACATAAAAAAAAATAAAATCTGAAAAATAAAAATATCAGCATTCTTTGGGAATAATATACCCTTTAATGACAGACCTTTTCAACGAATTACTTCTTGGTTCTTGTTTACTCTTTTTATTCGGAAATAACCATGTTTTATGGCTAATTTTAGAGGAATATTTTATTACAAACCTTTATCCATGACTTTTCCATGACTTTTCCCTGACCAAGACCATTTTTCCCTGACTAATAACAACATCAAGTTTTCATAATCTTTAGAGCATTAAACATATTTTTTTTATATGCTGGCCTCCTCTTCTCTATTATTATTGGCCAACCTCTTTCCTCCCTTTCTTCATTTTAAATTATTTCAAATACGGTATACATGTTAATTAATATAAGCAACAATTGTCATTAGCTACTTGTGTAGTTTACTTTGAATTAGCACATTACATAGGAGTACATTTATCCAAAATGAAAATTATTTGATGACATATGTCATGCGCAAATATGTTTCATTCTCAAACTTTTAAAGCAGTGTAATCAAAACTTTGAGATACTAAATACCATAGATAGTTTTGTATAATTTCTACTATATAATAGTATTATTAGCTTTGCCTACAGATTGCTTTTTCAAGTAGCCACTTCATTACCTGTCTTATTGTTTCTTGTTAAAACGAAAGTTTTTAATTGATTACTAACATTTATTCAAGTAAAATATATGCTTGCCTATTTTAGACAATCCTCCATCTATAACACTGCTTTGAATGGGGAGGGGCCAAAATATCAAAGAAATGCATTTGTAAAAAAAATTGCTATGTCACTGCATCAATATAACAGAAGGAAGTAGATTTTTTTTGTTTTATACAATTGAACGTTGCCATAATGCAGTTGTGTCTATTGAATTTCGGGGTCAAGGTGATATTTCAGCATGACACATGAAAATAAATGTGCAGATGTGTCTAATGTTAAGATGCAAAGGCCATATAAAGTGCAATAATTGATAGGTGTTTACTGTATTACATTCCTATTTTAAACTTTGAAATACAGTTACATTTTTTTCTTAAATTTAAGCATTACCTATTTCTTAGATAGTTAAATTTAAAAAAAGAATTTTTAATTTTTTACTATATGTAAATAATGAAAATCAATGAATCAGCCAATTTCGACCACTGGGCTATAATTTTAACAATCTTGGTATGGGTCTATTACACAAATTTTCATGCTAGTACAACATATAGTCTTTGTTAATTCTGAGAAGAAATTAAAAAACAAAATTGTAAATGTATAAACATATAAGGAAAACCTATGACCCCTTGGGTGCCCAATTTTGAATGGGCAAAATTTGAGCAACTTTGATAGAGGACCTGAAGATGATATTATATACCAAATATCAAAGATATAAGCCTTGTACATTCAGACAGTGAGCTATTTTAAGTTTTTACTATATGTGCAAAATGAAAATCAATGACCCCAAGAAAGGGTCAATTGTTCAGAGGTCCAATAGACGATGCATCTTGCAATTATTTAAGCCCTAGGCCTTGTAGGTCTTTAGAAGATTTTTCTAAATCTTATTTACTTATATTTACTTACTCTTGGTTGCCATGACAACTAGATTCTTGCACAGAATCAAATTCTTTTAACAAATTTGGAAGCCCTTTATCAAAGGAACAATCCTGCCAAGTTTTGATAAATTTGGACTCACCGTTTTTAGAAGATTTTTTACTTCACTATTAAGTTTCTTTAAATGTCAAAAGATTTTCAGACATAAGCATATTTTTTGGAGTAATATATTTACAAGAATAAAAAAGATGCTCATAATAATAAAAAATATAAAGATACCTAAAATAATAAAAGAAACTGCCATAGCCTTTCTGCTTTTGCTTCCTAAAGTTTGACCAATATTCTTCTCTTACAAAATTCCCTGACTTTTCCCTGACTTTTGCTTATTTTTCATATTTCCCTGACCAATTTAAAAATTCCCTGACTTTTCCCTGACCTTGAAAAAAAAAATTATTCCCTGACTTTTCCCTGACCGTAAGAACCCTGTTTATAGATGATATATTGTACATGTAACATACACCAGTCACCTTTCAGAACGATAAACATTCGTTCTATCTGGATTAATGATTGGAAAGTTTCCAATCAAATTTCAAATGATATAAATGTAAAAACGACAATAAAAATGTTGCAGTTGATAAAAATATAACATCGAAACAAATATATCGTATTATTTAACTATGCAATTACATTGTTCAATAATAATTACAAACAGCATAAGTAACAACAGCAATAAATTAAAACCACATTTTACAGATAGGAAATCAACAACAAGTAATGAACAACTTTAATAATTGATTGATCAACCTTTTCTTTAAAAAATAAAATAAAGACAAAATGTACATGTAATTATTATAATCAAAGATGTAAAGCTTTATCATATGAAATGTTCTAAATAAGAAAATAAAAAAAACCGAAAAGATAAATTGTTTTCTAATATTTAGGTTGTTTCTAAAGAAATGAGTAACATAGACTGTCTAAGTTATTTAATATAGATAACGTACGTGAATAGAATAATTTGTCGCAAAAATGCGCTGCTATTTTTAAAAGCTTTGGTGTTATTTTTGCATAATGCCCCACTCGATTTCAATAAAATATGCTGACACTTTTCTCTCATTTTAAGTATGCTGTTTACATTTTATCTCAATTTATCATTCAGAGACGGCAAATATATAGCTTTCTACACTTTAATATTAAGTATGATAAAAGGAAACAAATCTTGGTGGAAAAAGCAATATTAACTTTCAAAAACATAACAGTAAAAGAGAACAAGAAACACGCTTTGTTTCTTTTTTAAGTTTCACGTGGAATTTCAAAAGGTACATGTATTACAATAACAAAAATAAACAGAGATTTTTCAAATCCTTTAGAGAATACTGTGACGACCAAAGGCTCACGTGTGGTCTTAATTTTGACATTTATTTTTTTCAAACGTCATTGTACTGTAAAACGTCAGGCTTTAAAGTAATTGATTGCTTCCTTCTAAAAACATTCCTACTGAAATCAAATTATTATTTTTTCACCGACATCTCGTAAACAAACTGATGTGTTATCTATTTTTCTTTTTGAAAGGTAACAAACAACAACAACAACAACAGAAGGTTAAGAATCAAGAACATAAAAAATAATGTTTTTCTATTATTTTGGATTTTGTATACCACTTGGGATCAACAGGTTCCTGCCGGTGCCACTGAATTTGTCGCCACTCCTAAATCAGGCAAGCCACTAACTATAGGATTAATGTCACTGCTAGACCCCTCATCCTCAATTTGGTTATTCTTCAAATGTCTAACGACATACCATGCTGACGCTGCAATTAGCCCGAGGGCAGAAAAAGCACCAACAGCTGCTCCAACAATGGTACCAATACTTGGCCCGGAGTCCGTCTGTGATTTATTGGGTTGATTTACGGTGTTGGTAAAAAGTCTATGTGAATTGGCAATGCATGATGTGTATCCTGCAATGAAATACACGTAGCGGTTAACTAATGATCGTGATGTACAGTTAATTTACAAGCAAATAATCATATTAACCAATATAACGAATTTTAATTGAAATATTACTTTTTTTTAGAAATTCATCAAGTAGTCATATTTGCTAAAGTAAACAGAATATAGCAGGCATACAAGTCTAACTTCTGTTCAAATTACAATAGATACAAGAATAACAAATGAATCGCCGATATAATCGTTAGATAGATAAACTTACTCGTATCAGTGTCATTAATGATTTCCAAATTTGAGCAGATATAGAATGGCTGAATTGTAGCCTTTATACTTGCTATCATGCCAGTCGTTACGTTTTTCAGCTCCTTTTCTAAACTCAACACTGTGCTATTATTGGCATTGATTGACCTGTTTAAATTAATGATGAAAGCTTTGTTTAAGATTTTACATCAATAAGACGATGGAAATCATTTGGCAAATGTTCACATAATAATTTCAGAGATGAGTTTTCTAGATTTATTTTCTAATATATTTTAATAAGTATTAAAAAAGGGATATATGTTAATGACTGCGTTACATTTCGAACTTAATAAACAACGTAATAACTATAGTGTCTGTCACTTTTAGATAGATCTAGTACCCTTTACAACAAACAATTTTAAATGGCACCTTATTGTTGATCAAGTCAAGGCAAATTAATTATAATGTTCCAAAATTGAATAAAAGAAATCTTGAAATGTAAAATATGGTACGACATACATGTTGTAAGCGTAAATGTTACGAACTTGAGTTTGATACAATGGATTAGAGTTATAATTTGAATGTATACATGTACTTACCCAGTTTTACTGTCATACATAAGCATTTCAACAGCCTTCATGGTATTGTTACTTCCAGTTGTACAATTAACCTGTTTCAAATTTGAAATTTTACAACCACAGTATCTCCCCGACATGGATAAACCAAGTTCTGTGTGTTTTTGCAAAATCTCGAACACGATGTCTTGCTGTGTCTGCCAACGGGTGGCATTGTTGGTACAGTTTTTTGAATCGACAACAACTTCAACAAACAGATACTGTCTTTTATTTGACACCACCGTACTTTCCAGCAATACGATGCAGAGGGTCATGTAGTCTGTAATAAAACAATCAAAAACACATACTGATAAGTTGATATTATTCATGCCAAACAATTAAAAATGCAACATAATTATATAAAACAATTGTTTTGTAGTTTTATGCACCGAGCCTACAAAATCCGCTTATAAACTTTTAAAAATTGATATTAGATTTTACAGAATACTCTTAGTTCGATTGTGTAGGGTAGGACGCTATTAACTTTTACGCAAAATCTCAGAGTTAATATTCAACCAACCAATACTGTGCAATGAGTGTAAAGCTTCTTGCCAGTGGAAACGACGGGTTGGAATTTACTTTAGATTACAAGTTTGACGCGTTTACCACTCGTCCATGCCGTTGACGTCGTTATATCAGCATCAGAAGATACAACACTCACGTTATATAGTGTTTTTAATGTCTTTATGTCAACAAAAAATCTATTTTTCAACCTTTATGACTCAGGAAAATAATTGATAAGATTCAAAGTCTATTATATTTATTTTAGTTTTTGTAATATTCAAATTTGTGTGATGCATATACACTTTAATTTGTTCTTATATACACTGGTCTTTTAATCGTCTTTTAAAATAAATGAAATATTATACAGGTCGTGATTAAAGGTAAACGAAAACTGTCAAAGACCAAAGACTGTCAATGTTTTTAATTAATGCTTAATACATACATACAAAAAGCTAAAGATTCAGATAACTTTTGAAAATGTACAAACATGAGGCAACGCAAGGGCAATTTCTTTGTTCAGAAGTCCCTTTGCTGGGAAGTCATATCCCCCATCAGTGTAATATTTTATTTCTTGTTAAAACAAAATAAAAATTAATAAATAAAATAAACAAATAAAACAGAATGGAAGAACCATTACTTTTCGAAAAATCTGAAATCTAAAGCTAATTTTAATGACGGTTTTCGATGTGTGCAAATCATTATAATCTATTGCCTCATTTAGGAGTTATTATCTGGAAACAACAATGTGGACTGACTGACAGGCAGACAGACAGACAGCCCGACGAGCTCACACCTAAAATGCCCACTTAACCCCATTTGTGGGGGTATGTTAAATATCTTATTTTATATATCTTTCATTTATATTATCATACATTTTGTAATGTTTTTCACAGTGAAATCTATTTCTTAATATTGAAATACGTTAATGTATAGTAATTGAATAATATTTACTTCAAACATTTTACAAATAAACCAATTTCTACTTACAGATAAAATTAATCTAAAATGAATTAACCAAAGTGCATCTTTTAAACTGTGACAGATAAATCCAAAAACGGCTCTATATCAAAACAAATACAAGCATATCGATATCTTTAAGGTTTTTTTTTTTCAATCAAAAGGTTTTGAACTACATTAAGTGAACAAGTTAATACGTAAGACTCGTAGGAACATTATTACCTCATTGTTCATCAATTAAACTTCACAAATTCACGAAGTGAACTTCATGAATTCTCTTTTTCTACATAATGAATGCATGAATTCACAATGACAACCAAGTTACTTCAAAACTTTATTTCTTCGATTCACCATTTCAACGTCATGAGTTATATATTTGAAGTTAAAGAATACTTGATTTTAACTTGATTGATTTAACTTCACGCTCAAAGGTTTTTATCTTCCTGATTTAAATGGCATTAATCAGGGCTGGGAATCAAAACTGCGTCGTATCCTACAAAATGTAAACAAACGCCGCCATCTTGGGACGAGAAATGTATGTTTTTGTTTATAACTCTTTTTGTTGGAAATGATTGAAAACCAGATATATGTATTAACACGCTACACTATTTTCCGCTTCGTTCGGTATATGTTGCTTGCACAACTATTTTGTAAAACAAAAGTTATAGCGAACTTGCAACTCGAAGCGGAGCAGACTTTTTATGAAAATGTGTGGATACGACGCAGTTCATATTGCATTATCTATCGTTTTTTCCTTCAAATTAATTACATATTTGTTTCAGAGTTCACCATAAACTTCAAAGCATAATTTTGCACCATTTACTAAAATTTCATTAAAAAGAGATGTTTATTTTCCAAGATAATAATGGTTTTTACGAAATGATACGACGCAGTTGAAAATAAAATATGATACGACGCAGTTGTATTTTCATTGCAGTCTGTATATTGGATAAACTATTTAAATTATGTGCTAGGCATGCTAATAACGTCCAACAACATTTCTTGTTTACAACTTAAGTCAAAAGCAGAGGTCACTCAATGGTTCCATAAAAATGGAAATGTAATACAATTATATTAGGTCGCATTTTAGTACCCATCATAAGCATCTACAAATTCCGAAAAGCTGTATCAAATGCAATATACATTGAAACACGTGATCGCATACCCATATGACAACATGTTCCAGTTTTGCCTTAGTGTGCTTCTAAAATTGTTGCCGTGAGTTTGAAATTGGAGTGATTACCATTTTTGATACAAAATTCAATATTCCAGTGTACCTGTCCTGGACCCTGTATTAATCAGGAATTACCTTTTTTTAAGAAAAAAGAGAAAAAAATACAATTTTTGAAAAGGTCTCTTGCTATCGGAAGAGAGCTATGCCCAAATTGCATGCCTACCTTTGTTACTTGTAATTAGCAATAATTTCCGTCAATTCCGTTATTACTTATGTCTTTTACGTGCCGATTTTATTGTATTCAATTTCTTAATAATCGGTGAGAACAGATGAGCTTTATTATTTGAAACTGAACATTTAATTTTTTAAATATCATATTATAAATGGTTAGGCTACAATATATTTTTGCAAGTAGGTTATGCGTTCAGTTTAGTCATTTTATGTTCAGCGCCGCGGAACTTTGCCGCTGATTCTGTCGTATTGCATTTCTTTATCGCCGATAAGGAAAGGTCTACGGAATGTATTTTCTATATTTGCACTTAAATATTATTTTTCTCCATTAAAAAACTTAAAATTTTCAAAATTGAGTTACATATGATACAACTACAAATCATTTTGTAAAGAAGGTGTCCGTTTTGCAAAGGTATTTTACGCTGTGCACCGATAAATTTGATACAGATATAGGCAGACATGATCTTTCAACAGTATTGAAGAAGTTTTCACAATATTGAACAGAAAATTTATGTCAGATTATCGCATCGAATTTTCAACAGGCTAGAGGACATGGCATTTTAACATACCTTCATACTAAAGTGTGACTTTTATTTGATAATGAATTGCCTGAAAACTTACACAAAAGTTTTTTAGAAAATGACTTCACAGAGGAATACCCCCTGTTTACATTGAAAATTTCTCTGCTAGTCATACCGAAATAAGAAATGTAAATGTTATTCTCTTTATAATTAATTAAAATATTTATAATCTTAAAACTTCATGCCAGAAGTTAATAAAAAGCTGCTTAGATGTACAGCTGACGTTTTGTTGAAAAAAGAAATCAGACAGGTGTCCGACCGAGGCCGAGCTGTTTATGTTTACCGAATTCAAATCACTTGAACTGGACTGCTATGAATTCGAAAACCACCAGGGACTTTTTATTCTTTCGTGTGGAAAACCTATCAAGCTAGTGTAAAAATGTCGATCGGTTCTCTGCAGGTGCAACATTTTGCCTGAAATAATGCACAAAGGCGCACCTGAGGTCCTCGCCCCTAGTAAAGCTTATGTGAAGTGTGAAAGTTTAAAAAAAAAACAACACAAAAAGCAGTCATTACCAAAAACATGCAGAACCACAGTTAACTTAGAGCGTAGCTAGCCAAAGTGAATTCAAGTTAATAGATTTCTACAATATTTTTGCGAAAAAAATTAGGGATAATATTGAACATACAGGAAAATATAAGAAATTATTTCAGATATTATGATCAATTAGGTAACATGTTCATGTTTAACTGAAAAGTAGCTTCCGCAATGTAAACTTTCAAATTAAATGTTATATTGGACATGACACAATGTATTCTAAATAATCAAAAGCAACAGAACTTGCTATACACCGCAAATGATCTGTTTTTTTATCTAGCGCAAGTGATTATTCCATAAAATAGAAATATATTGCCAAAATTATCCCTGTTGAAAAGACTGCCAAAATTACAACTGCGTCGTATCATATTTTATTTTCAACTGCGTCGTATCATTTCGTTAAAATCATTATTTTCTTAGAAAATAAACATCTCTTTTTAATGAAATTTTAGTAAATGATGCAAAATTATATTTCGAAGTTTATGGTGAACTCTAAAACAAATATATAATTGATTTGAAGGAAAAACGATAGATAAAGCAATATGAACTGCGTCGTATCCACACATTTTCATAAAAATTCTACCCCGCTTCGAGTTGCAAGTTCGCTATAACTTTTGTTTTACAAAATAGTTGTGCAAGCAACATATACCGAACGAAGCGGAAAATAGTGTAGCGTGTTAATACATATATCTGGTTTTCAGTCATTTCCAACAAAAAAGTTATTAACAAAAACATACATTTTTCGTTCCAAGATGGCGGCGTTTGTTTACATTTTGTGGGATACGACGCAGTTTTGATTCCCAGCCCTGTAATTGACTATTTCAACTTCATGAATACATAAATATTTCTTCACCAATTCAACTTTGTGAATGTACGATTTCATCTTCATGAATTTGTGGAATTGAAATCGTGAATTTATGAAGCTGTTATAACGATAAGCGAAATCGTAAATTCGTTAAGTTTATTATTGTTAAAATGTCAGAAAGAGGTCTTCGTAGGTTAGTGTTAATTTTGATAAAAGTCTTACAAATGCTCAAACTTTTTAAGTTATATGTACATAAATCTTGTAAAAATATTATTTATTTTCAATCAACCTCAAAAATAAAAGTTTTTGTTTTGTTTTTGTTTTTTGTTTTTGTTGGGTTTTTACATCGCCCTATCACAGTATATGTCATATGGCGACTTTGAAGCTTTACTAGTTGAGGAAGACCTCAGGTGTTATCAAGTGCAATAATTCAGGCACGGATGGGCACCTTTAGAAGTAGGGCCACCGTCGTTCCCTATATCTTCCTCAAAT